CCCTAAATAAGGCCCCTTCCCTACCCAAGTTCATCATTGTCCAGAGCCTTGCTGGCCTGTGCTTTGCATCACACACAAACAATCTTTAAGAAATGCTGGAGATGTTGTCAGCAATAGATGAGGGTTCAGTATGCCCACTTAGAAAATGTCATGCAGAATCCGTGCTCTTTCTGAATCTCTACCAGATCCCAAATGCCATTTCTAATTCCTATTCTACCTGCTACTTCTGGGATTTTCCTCCCTCCAAGTCCATGAGCCCAGTTTATAAAGAGGAGGTACTGAGGTAAGGGATGGAAGCTCCAAATATTTCTGCTTTCTTTCCTGTGAATAGAATGGTGTGAACTGGTGCTAAAAGCATGGTAGATCTTTTCCCATGAATGCAGCACCAGTCAGCATAAGAGAACACAAAAGAGCCTTGAAAGGAAGGAGGAAATGTGCAGATGATCATTCCCTGCCTCACTGCCCTGAATTGTGCATGCCAGCACCTCCTGACCCAGAACAAAGTCTCCCAGCCTGCAGCAAAAAGGGTGTCAAAACAACAAAACCTGCCAGGCTCCTTTGCTCTCAGATTGGCACATCAATGAGGTGTCCCACAAGCTGTGCATTGACTTTCCTTCATTCCCAGGGTACACAGGTTTAGTGGGCAATATTGGTAGTAAGTGTAGAGTTGGACTAGATGATCCTACAGGTCTTTTCCAACTTTAATGACTCTATGATTAGCTAGAGCAGCTCCTCATTTTGCTGCCAGTCTTCTGAATTCTTTTAGCCCTTCAGTTTCTGTTTCTCCTCGCATCCAGGGGCTGGCTGCTGCCTTCCTCTCTGCCTCTATGGCTGGCTGGCTGGCTGGCTGCCCAGGAGTGGCAGGGGATCCTGTGCTCCCAGCAGGAGCCACAGACTCAGGAACACAATTTCTTAGCCCGGCTGTCAGGGTGCTTGTCACTGAAATAGGAAGGTATCTCAGGCATTGCATCGTGCTCCCACATTGCTCCTTTCCCAGCCAGCCTGTCCATTCCTCTCCTCTGCAAGTTCCTGTGATCATCAGCCGTGACTGCTGCAGGGCTTCATGAGATGCTCAGTGAATTTGCACATGTGCACTCAGCTCTTTTCCATAGGAAAAACCTTCCGCATACATGCTGTGTCCCTAATGCCATAATGTGCGCAATATGAGCACAGGAAACAGCCTCCAGACACACATTTGTAGCACTAACGCCTTGTTGCGATTCCTGCTGTTGGTTTTACCAAGAGCCATCTTAGGGTGAACTCAAACCCATCACTGTCCCAAGCAGCATGCCGCAGGCACCTGTTAAGCAATCCTTGCCCTGACTCCATGCTACAAGGCACACACAGGCACATGCTGCTTCTCCAGGCTGATTTATGAGCATCTTTGCACCTGAACTTCATATTCTTCTAACATGAAGCAAAGATCAGTAGGCCAAGACACAGGGTGACCCTACACTGCAGCACACTTCCTTTTTTTTTCCTCTTCAAGAGGCATAAAAGCTCTCTTATATTGATGTGTTGGTTTTACCTTCCTTCTAGAAGGAAATCAATATTATACACCAGTAATTTTAGAGCTGAACTTGAAAACTCGAGTTTGTTCAGACAGAGAAGTCAGATTTAACAGTGTTTAATGTTGAAGACAAACAGAATACAGAATAGAATCTTGTTCCAGGATTATTTTGGTTTCTGGCCACTGCAGAAGGGTTTATGATCATTGCAAAACTTGGATCTGGAGAATAGAGGCTCTTTCACTTTTTAACTAGTATAGGGCATGCATGGGGCATTTCTTATGGGCAGTAATAGACCTTCAAGCTTTCATTTTGCTGAACATAACAGAAGACATTAGCCTTAACATGTCCCTTTCTGTAACTAAAGGGACAAGAGCTAACGTGATGGCTCACAAAGGGCTTTACATTGTCATTTAAAAATTCTTCCAACCCTACTTCATCCAGCTTTGTCCTGGTCATTGTAGCTATTCTAGGGTGGATGTAGCTAATGGATGAAGCTATTCTGTAATGATGTCAGACAACTGAGAAGTAATCTGGAATCTTGCTCCACTGAGGCATGGTAGCAGTTGAAGGGTTGATCATGCTTCCAAGTTATATTGCAGGGAAGTCAGAGACTGCTCTAAGCATGGGAGGACCAGAGATAACATCTACACTTCAGCTGGCCAGATCAGACACCAATTTTTAAGTAGAGGAGGGGATTCAAATTAAAAATCAAATAGATGCTGAAGGTCCCTGGTGTTTGGTGAGTGGTAATTTTTCAGATGACATTCAGCCAGAGACCTGTATAGTTCAGGACTCTTCTTCTGGAGGGCTTTGGACTCTCCATTTACAGTGAGTGCAGGCAGACAAGAGCATTTTTCCTTTTTCTCAGCTGAACTGTATTTGAAAGGAGATTTTGTAGCTGTTTGGAGAGGACCTAGAGGAAGGGTACAGACTGTTCTTCCAGTCTCAAAGAAAGTCTCAAATTTTCAGGCTTGAATGAGTAAAGTCACAGTCTCATAGAAATGTTTGAGTTGGAAGGGGCCTTAAAGATCATCTAGTTCCACCCTCACACTATCAGTACAGATACCTTCCCCTAGATCAGGTTGCTCAGGGTTCCTGTGTAGTCAGGCAGCCTGTGCCAGTGCCTTACCACCTTCACAGTAAAGAATTTCTTCCTAATATCTAATCTAAATCTCCCCTCTTTTAGTTGAAAACCACTGTCCCTGCTATGTTGTTATACTCTCCGATAGATACCCTTTCCAGCTTTCCTGTAGATATGGAAAGCCACTTTGAGGTCTCCTCAAAGTCTTCACTATTTCAGGCTGAGCAACTCCAACTTTCCCAGCTTGTTTTCATAGGAGTGGTGCTGTAAGCTTTGAGTATCCTCAGACTCACCAGACACTAATAAATGCCCTTTAACCAGTACTCCAGAGACTGACTCTGGATCTCTAAAGCTTGAATTGAACAACTGAGGTTGTGTTGGAAATTCATATCCTTTCCCACAAGACAGCTCACAGGAGTTGTCGAAGAACAGTGGCAGGAAACAGCAAATTTCCACGGGTCCTTCTTTGCCATTGCATCAGGGCTTTGGACACCCACAAATATCTCAGTAACTTTTTTTGGTAAAATTGAAATACTGGTGGGATAGTCCTGAATGCCAGCTGTAGTCTTAGCTTTATAAACATGTTAGCTGTCGCACTGTGGGTGCTTAATTTTGTGCATGATTGTGCAAGCAGAGCTGTGGGGTATAGTCAGGAAGGGCTTGTGGGAAGTCAGCTCTTTGCAGGACCAGGACAAAAACCCTTCATCTCACACCTTTGTCATAGCAGAGAGATGGTGATCAGGGAGGTGGAGGTTAGAATATCTGCTGTCCCTGGAGATATTCGAAGTCAGACCTGGCAGGGCTCTGAGCACCCTGATCTAGCTGTAAATACCTCTGTTCCTTGTAGGAGAGTTGAGCTAGATGACCTTGAAAGGTCCCTTCCAACTCAAACAATTATGATACACAAAACAACCAGATGTGTAGTGAAGTGGTCTTTGGTATTGGACTCAAGAGTGACTGTTGATCTGGGAAGCACAGCTTGGAAATGGTAGTTGATCATTGTTAAACTACTCACTTTCTTCCAATGGTAATTTTGTTTAAGAGATTTCCAAAGAGATCTCTTTGCAAGTACTCTTAGTGAAAAGCTAATATTTTTGTGCCTTGAAAGGACAAGGATAGAAGTGTCTCAACTAGACTAGCATATTACTGGAGTTGGCTGTCAGTTCTCCTTCTCAAATACCACTTCTTCTTTTCTCTTCTGTCAGCCACCAATTCTGACAGTTTTGGAAGGAAACACTTTGATTACATGCTGTGACAGGGAGATCAGACAGTCAGAAAGCATAAGGGCCAGTGCTTGTTGATGTGTGAACCCAACTTCAGAAAGCTCAAGGAGGGGGGAGAGGGGCTGCTGGGGACCTGGTGGGAATAAAAGCCCTCGTTTTGCCATGTCCTCATCGCTAACTGGAATGCAGGACTGTCTGCTCCCTTCTTCAAGGAAAAATATTCTTAAAGCTAGGATTAAACATTGAAGCAAAAGATTTGGGGGCAAGCTCAGCAATTTGGGAGCCCACCTGGTTCTCCCTCTGTCCTGTCCTTGCGTTCATGAAGACTTTCAGTCATCACAGCCCTCCAACACTGCATTCCCATTTCCTCCCTCCATGCCTGATTATTCATTCTATTATTACACCTGCTCAGACAGTGTCTCAGAGAGCAACTTGTTATCAGGAAGAAATCAGAACTAATTAAATTAATATGTGGTAGCTTTAATTTAGAAATAAACAAGATTCAGGACTTGGAAAAAGTCAGAACATCCTGCTTTCTATTTTCAATTTGAAATGCTTTGTGTTGTTTGTTTTTTTTTCTTCTTTTTTCTCCAAATGTTCTGAATTTTAAGGTGAAAAATAACATAGTTGGAAGTCAGCTCTGATACAAAAACAATTGAAGCCGATCAACAAAATTGAAATGTTTCCAGGAAGGCTTTGTTTCCTGGGAGAGGTCTGAAAGGCAGTGTTTCTTTTGATGCAGAATGAAATGATATTGCTGAGAGTACAAGCACAGAAATGAATAACTGCAGGGTTAGCTGGTTTAAGTGCTTTGAGGAAGTCCTTGTTCCATTGTGGTTGCCTGCTCTTATCCATTGGTAAATGCATGGTACTTTACTGTTGAAACAGGATTACTCCATTGCACATTTACTCCAGGGTACTGCCACGACTAAGCGTGCAAACTTTCCATGGGGTTGCTGACACAGTGTAAATTCTCATCTTCTCATGCTCTAAGGTACCAAGTTTAAGTATCCATACTCTAAATTCCTGAATTCCCCATGAAATGAAAATCCAGCTCCAGTGCTGATTTAACTGTTCGTGACTGTCCCAGAATCACAGAATGGTTGAGGTTGGAAGGGACATTTGGAGGTCAAGCAGGGACACCTATAAGAAGTTGCCCAGGACAACGTCCAAATGGATTTTGAAGATCTCTAAGGAGGGACACTCCACCACTTCTCTAGGCAACATCCTTGGTCACCTTCACAATGAGAAAGTGTTTCCTTAAAAAAAAACCTTTTTCCTTCCTGTTTTTATGTTCAAATGTGAAAATTGTCTACCTGGCCATCCTGTCACATTCAGCTGATGAGAAACAGATATTTCTCTTACCTGTTTTTCTTTAGAGTGGGTTTGTCAGTATTTCTAGGAAGGTGGTGGGGTCACTGTCCCTGGTGGTGTTCAAGAGGCATCTGGATGAGGTGCTACAAGATAAGGTTTTGTAGTTTAGTGAGTAGTAATGGTGACAGCAAGATGGTTGGACTAGATGATCTTGTAGGCCCTTTCCTTTCCAGGCCCTTGCAATTCTATGATTCTTAGGGGATTTCAATGCGTAGTGAGATCTGCATGTGGATGTACAGTGCAGTAGAATTTCCATGAAGATTCCTGTAGCACATTTATAGTGTTAACCTGAGAGATGGGAGGTCTCCATCTGATCTAGGTGCATTGATTGCATGATTCTATGATGCTATTATTTTTCAAGTGGTGAAAGTCTGGTCAGTGCAATCAGTGGAGTTCAGTGAAAGACTCCTTTGGATCTCCACTGAAGAGAAATGTCATCAAGGCCTACTGGATTCCATGATAGGCACTGACATGATGGACATCAGTGTTTAATGAGAAGATTTCCTTGGGCTCTGTAGGCACCAGACAGATTAGGAGCCTAAATTCCACAGAAAGTCAATGGAGAAAGGAGAAATATGATAGTGATAGGACAAGGAGGAATGGCTTGAAATGAAAAGAGGGGAGATTTTGATTAAATATTAGGAGGAAATTCTTTATTCAGAGGGTGGTGAGTCATGGGCACAGGATACTCGGAGAAGTTGTGGATTCTCAGTCTCTGGAGGTGTTCAAGGCCAGGTTGAGCAGCCTGATCTGCAGGGTGGCAACCGTTCCCACAGCAGGGAGTTTGTAACTAGATGAACTTTAAGATCCCTTCCAACCCCAGGCATTCTATGATTCTCAGGCTGTGTGATGTGAGGGAGGAGCAACATGTTGGTTTCCAAAGGGGGCATGACAATACCTCACTTTCAGCTTAAGAACATCCACTTAAGCAGCGAAGTGAATTCCCACCTTGCTGCTGAGCTGTGAAATTTCCCCATGGCAGCAAGCCCAGAGGGGGGATCCAGGAGCAGAAATGTACCATGCTTCTGGATCCGAGCTCCCCCTAGGCCTACTGGTTAGCAAATGAACAAATCTGCTCTTTTGCCTGAGCAAGCATGACAAGAGAATTATCTTGCTCACAAAGTAATGCTGTAGCTTCCAGCAGGACCTGGTCTGAAACAGAGCATCGCATGAATTTTGCATGCATTCCTCTGTCAACAATCAAGTGATTATCAAACATGGCTCTGCAGGCAGACCCCCAGGCAACTGGGCCTTTGTGCAAGTACAGGAGAAACAAAAAGCAAAACTTGCTTGCTGTAAATTCTGAGACTTTTTTACTGTGGGGTATCAGCTCCTGAGATCAACTTCACAGGCAAAGGGAGGCAGCAAAACATGCATCTTTTTGATGGTGGTGCAAGCTACCAAGCAAGTAATTTTCTTTTCTTTCTTACTTTTCCAGCTGCTGGCTGTCATTAGAGGGAGGTCTTCTCTATGCCTTCGTGGGACCTGCTGCTGCTGTTGTTTTGGTATTTGAGCTTGTCTGAAATCTTTTTATTTTCTCTTTGTATTATTATTATTATTATTATTATTATTATTATTATTATTTTATAAGACATCCCTCATTCTTTCAACCCAAGAGTGTTCCTCTCTCTTTCTACTGTTGTTTTTAATAACTTTATCCTTCAGGAAGAAAACACAGAGTATTAGAAGCCAGCAATTTGGGATGGGTTTAAGTCTGAAATGCAGTGTACCTCAGCAACCAGCCTTTTACCTCTGACCTCTCTGGAGTTCCCTAGACATCTGGATAAAGCTTTAGCTTTTTATTGGCCTGTCTGGATGGAAGTGCAGAGTGGTGGTGGAAAATTATGACATTATCTCCTTCAGAATCTACTGTTAGTGGCTGCTCTTAGACCAAGTGGGGTCTCCACTGACAGCATTTATTCTTCATTTGTCCCAGATGTCCATGAAATCTGAGTAGCTTCCTTGCTCTCAAGTGAACTGGAAGTCTTTGAAAAACAATGCTGAGGGGATCCTTTACGGCTCCAAAAACATCAAGTTTGCTTCTTGTTCAAAGAAATGGTGTGGTTCAAGTAGGCATTCATTAACTCTGTCCCACTGTCCTCCTGTCCCCTATCCCTTGGCTCTAACCCAAAACCAAAACCTGTCTCAGTCAGTTACTATCTGAGTTGAAGGTGTCACTGAAGGGATGACAGATTTTTCATCAAGCTTCCCTGCTGTTGAAGCCCCACTGATCATGAGAAATCTTGACTGTCAGGGTTCAAAGACTTTGTAAACTGCTGGTCCCTTCAGGAAATCCCTTCTTCACCAATTGCAGACACATTTAATGACACTTGTAGACCCATCTAAGTGGAAGTCTGTTTTTTTCTCTTCAACCCAATGTTCTATCCAGTGGAGGAGCTGTTTGGTCTTGTCTCATGTGCCCTGGAGAATCCCAGAGGAATGGAATTGTCGACATTTGCAGTTTCTTTTTTGGATCTGTTTTTTGTTTCAGGCAGTGCTGAAGGGGGTAACTGCCCTGTAGCAGGAGCAGGCTTACAGGAGAATAGCTACACAAAACTTCTTGCTGCCTCTATTACTGCTGTCTTACTTACTGCTGTCACTGCACATCAAGCCACCATGGTGTCATCATGACGTCAAAGAAACAAGTCGTCAGTTGCCCCTCTTCTACAATAAAGCAAAGCTTTTCTCTCTTACAGTCTTTCTTTAGCATTGATACAACACATAGCTGAGCCTTTGGGTAGCCATCAGCAAAGAGTGGGAATATGCAGATGTACATTAGATTTCTGTAGGCATGCAGTAATCGGATTTTGTTCAGTAATGTTGCTGATGGGCTTAGAGTCTTCCTTATTGCTGGAATAACTGACAGCAGCATTAAGTGGCTTAGTGTTTTCAGATGAACTACCTCTGCTCAGCAACATAATAACAGATAGCTCTGGCTCAGTGGGTAGGGTGTTCAATAGACAGCGGTGATTAGGAGGGAGTGAACTATTGTGCCTGGAGAAAGAGCAGTCAGTCTCCTGCGTGTTTTGCTTTTGTTGTGCCAACAACAAGGGAAGTAATCCTTCAGCTTTTCCTACCCTGCTTCCATTTGGCATCTCTGTTTTCACTCATCATCAAAGGTGGAATTGGAGATAACCTTACAGTGAGGTCAACACCTGCAGATGCTCGTTCATATAGAAGGTTTTAGGAAGTGGTGAGTCATCTCTGGAGGTGTCTGTCTCTTTTCATTGCCTAGAGAAGGCGACTGTACATCTCATTTATACTACCTGACTCATTGCTAGCTAAATGAGAAGCAAGTGATGCCCAAGAGAGGTATGAGGTAATGTACCTATATCCTGAGGAACGTGGGGAAGAGGAGGAGAAATAAGCATTGAGCACTTTTTTGTAAATGGAAACCCGAGCTGACAAAATTCACACTATGGCTTTGTAGCAGAGCATAGGGTGAAATACACAGTTCTCAAGTATGGACTGTGCATGAGACCAGACAGTTGTCTCTTTTGTGCATGCTTTGTCCTGATTTCAGATTGGCCATGCCAGATATGGAGGGTCATCTTGGCTCCGTATGAGGACAGTGAGGCTCTCACAAGGCTGTGTGAGGGATATGCAGCTGTACTACTACTCAGGACAGCATTGCTCCAGATAATACACCTGCTCTTGTGCAGGGATCACAGAACAAGATGGGACCTGGCTCTGCACCTGAGCTAAGCAACTCTTTCTCACCTGAAACTCTGAGGAATATGATACGTTGACACCCAAATGACTTCACACAAAGCTGACTTGGCTCCAGCTGGGTTTATTGTCTATGCTTTTAACTTTAAGAATCCAAGGACATTTAAATTCAGGGCTGCTGCAAGTGGTTTTACACTTCTAACTCAGGTGAGGCACCCTGATGATGCACAGGTTGAAAGCCTGTTGCAGAGATGCAATTATAGAGCTACAATTCCTCATCTCTCCTGCCATAAATGAATGAGGATGAGCACTGTTGTGCCAAACCCTAGTAGGTATGCAGCCTAATACTTCAACCTCATATGTTACCTTAAAGAAGAGGACATCATATACTCAGAAGCATCAAGCATTGAAGAAAGATACATGAATTGCAAGTGTGCTCACAAGTGTGCACTTAACTGGGGTTTGTTTTCTAGCTCATCCTTAGCCAGGTTACTGCGTGTGACTTGCCAGCACTGTGTCTATAGAACAAAACAATGGTGTGCTCTAGAAATGGACTGACAGCTGTGGAAAGTATTCCACTCACCCAACAGCTGATACAAAAGAAAATAACTGCTATTTGGGAGCTCTTCTATTTGCTGCTAGCTGTAGACTCCCCATCAGAAAGCTGGGTCGTGTCCTGATGAAATCAGCAGAGCAAACTCAGAAGGGTTGTTCAGTCTTGAGAATTATTTTGGCATCTAGATGAAGGCTTAGTGTGAGCAGAAATGTCTTTCCCATGGGCTGTGTGTTCTTTGGTGGTTTGATGGTTGGAGTAGATAATCTTAGTGGTCTTTTTCAACTTCAGTAATTCTATGATTCTATTAGTTGTTCATTAGGACTACTTCTCAAGGGTGTTCTAAACTCACCCAGGCTCTTACCTAACATCTAATGGTGCATCTACCTGAATTTGACCTGAATTGTTTCCTTGCAAGCACAATGTCCAAAAGAGCATCTAGTACCTCGTCCTACCAACACCAGCTGTTTCACTGGCAACAAAACCAGGAGAATGTCACTTTTTTCCACCATCAGCACTGTGCCCCTAGGAAGAGGTGATGCTTGTGTATCACTTAAGTGGTTATGTTCAGAGGTTGCTGAGGTTTGCATGGGGTTTGTAAAGCTGATGCAGCTGGCAGTGGTGAATGGAATAAAAATGGAGCACTGAGGAGTTCAACATCTCTTTGAAAGACCTTAGCTCTGCACAGCTTGTATTTCTCTGTGAATTTTATACCTGACTGATACAGACATCTGTGCTCTTGCCCTAACAAAGCAGAACGAAGGGCTGCGTAAAGTTGCTTTGCCTACTAATTTCTTGGAAATGGATAGATGGCTAATCCATGAGCTGTGCAATCTGCAGTCTTTCTCAAGATATCCTACCATAGCAGCTGATATTTCTGCTTACTCAAGTGGCTCTCCACCTCTTAATTCTGAGAGCAGCAGTGGTGCTTCACTGATCAGGAATGACGACTATCCATCTGGAGCATACCACGCTATCCTATTAGTGCTGCTGCTTTTGGACCACAGATTCTAAAAAAAACACTTCTGAAATTGTGTCATGCCACTTCTCTCCCCTGCATTGGCCACTTTCAGTTTGTATTATCCTGAAAAAATATTTTTATGCTTTGAGTTTGGCTCACTCTTGAGCATACATTTGACCTGATCTAGCTGCAGATGTAACTGTTAATTGCAGGGGAGTTAGACTATCACTAAAGGTGACCTTTAAGGGTCCCATCCAACTCAAATGATTCTGTAATTTTATGAGGCCTACAGCATTTTGAGCACTTTACAACCTTGTCCTGGCCCTTGCAGACCTCTCTGAGCTGCTGCCAGCTGCATTCTGCTTTCCTGAACTCAGATTGATGCCCAGGGGAGGTGGGATGGTAAGGGGATAAAAGGGGCGGTGGCCTGCAGAGATGTGACTGTCACTCAGCTTTGGGAAGAAAAAAGGGCTCAGCTTGCCCTTTTGTTCCTTCTGTACTGCTGAGTGTGATCTGCTCCACCTGAGAACAAAACTGTGTGTTGTTTTTCTTTCAACAGGTGAACATGGTTATTGGCATTCTGGTTTTTAACAAACTTGTATCCAAAGATGGAATAACAGATAAGAAACTGAAGGAACGGGCAGGGTATGCCTTATCAATACATCTAAGTAAAGAATAAAAACAAAAAACAACAACAACAAAAAAAAACAAGGTTGTGGTCAATAACCAGGTGAGAAATACAGACAGAGAGATTGGAGATGGAAACAAGCAAAAGCAGTTTTAAACAAAATGGAACAAACAAACAAAGAAATCCATGGATTAATATTTCTGTCTTGTTATTCAGTGCAGAGTCCAAAAACAAAACAACAAAACAAGAAAAAGTACTTTGCTGATAAAGGGAGAGACTGAATTCAGCTCTTTGTTAAAAAGGCTTCATCCCAAACTGACATATTCTTCCAAAATATGGGACAAAGACAGTGATTCTTTTCACTAACTTCAGGAGAATTAGTTGGATCAGAGAGGGATGTGTCATTGCTGAGTTTGGCACGTGGCATGGGCTGTGTGACAGCAGGGTTGCATCTAGCAGCTGGCAGATGGCTGAGGGATGGCAAAGGTACACAGTGCTTTGAAGGAAAGGGTTTTGAAGGTGTGCAAGTGAACAGATCAGTGTATGAGTGGTCAGTAGAGGGTTTCTCTTCTGCAAGAAGAAATTCTGTTACCTCCTGAAATTCTCTGTCTTTTCCACAGTCACCACTCAAACCTCCATCCCTGAAGCCCAGGTCTGGTGCTAAGTGGTTTACTCTGTAGTGTAATAGAAGAGTTTATTCCACAGCTCTTGACAGTAGCCAGTATGGCAGCAACCACACAAGGCCATCCCTTGGCTCACCTCCAAACTACTGACAATGCAGCTATTTAGTGATGACATCAAAACTGAGAGCAGAAGCAAGCTCTTATCTAGCCAGAGAAGAAGGAACAAGAGAAGGCTCACATTTAATCTACAGTGTTGACCTGGCCAAATGGTATGATTCCTTGGTACAGTGAGGAAGGAATCTTGATGCCTAAGTAAGATATTTATTACAAGAGGAAAATTAAGTCCTTTTGGGTGATCAGAGGTATGTGTTATTGCTGGGTTAAATATGTATGTGAGTAAGTGACCTTAGTGCATTGCTTTAAGCAACCACTAGCAAGGAAATGCTTTATTCTGGCTGATGCCTTTTTTACAAAGAGAACTCAAGAAAATACCTTAACTGCAGGGAGAGTCCACAGAGGGGTAATTACACTGGAAAGTCAATGCTGAAATAAATCATTTATTGGATTAGCAGAGCAGCGAGTTGCTGCTTATCAGTCTGTCCCTCTTTAAGCTAAACTGCACACAGAAGGATCTTATTTAATACCTATCAGCTGGTTATTGATCATACTCGTAGTTATACTTTGACAACAAAGCCAACAAAGCGAAAAAAAAAAAAAAAAAAAAAAGTCCTTTTTCTGATGTTCTTTGTTTTTTCTTTCTTTTCTCTTTTTTCCCCCCTTTCATGTCCGTGTGTGTGTGTGCAGCGCTTTTAAGCCTTCTCTGTGCTAAGTGATTTTGTTCTCCTTTCCAAGTGCACCCGCTGAGACTGGGGGGATGCTTTTGGGATCCCCGATGCTCCCTCCCTCTAGCTAGCCGCTTCTGGCCTGGGCTTGGGAACCGTGTTGGAGGGTAGATCTGAAGATAATCAGACTGAGTCATGGCCTCGGACATGTTTGGATCTGAGGAGATGGTATAAAGAAACGTTGTGTTTCCTTTAGCAGAGGCAAGAAGTATGGTTCAGTGTTGGAAAAAAAAAAAAAAAAAGGGAAATCCTCCCAAAAAAGGAGGGGAAATTGACCTGTTGAATGAGGAGCCCAGCACATATACCACAGATTGGTTGTCATTAATAAAGTAGTGTTAACAGCTTCTGCAAAATAGTATCTGAGACACAATAAATTTTGCCCTATAGTTAACAGAGGAAATCATTGTGATTATTGATGTCATGAAACTTTGACTTTCTAAAGGCATTTGTCAGAAATATCTTTATACATATATCAGAAAATGAGGCTATGGAAAGGTAGATGTTGCATGAAGAGGTTGCACATTGCACATGGATGCCACAAATCCTTTCTAAGCAAATATCCTGTGCTAGAGATTCTCAGCAAATACTTGCTTGCAGTGCTCCAGTATTTCCCCATCCTCCTTCTGGAAGAGGTTGACCATCCTCCTTCTGCAGGCAGCGGCACCAATAGCATTTTTAGTCTTTGTTGACATGAGTGCTACTAAAAGCAAATGTTTTCATGCTGGATGCAGGGACCTTTAAAATGAATTCTAAATTTATTCAGCCAACATTTATTCCAGAAGCATTTGTGTGCTTATGCAGTCAGGGAAGAAGAATGAGACTATAGGGTGTATTCACAAAGGCTAATTTTAGCCTGCTGAGTTTAATCTCCCCAGGCTTCCTTTGTAGCCATTGGAAAGAGACAGGAGCCTTGTTTAGTTTTCCCAACTTGTCCCTTAGAGGAGCTTTACTTCTTTTATCCTTCTGCTGATTGACTTGATAAAGTTTTCTCCAACACCTTGTGAAACATTCTCTGTGTGTGCTGCTGGGTATGACAGAGCTGGATGGCTAGTGCCAAGACAAATAATTGGGAAGATAATCACTATATTAAAATAGGGACAGATTCGGATTGCCCTTCATCTGGAAGCGTTTCATGTTGGAAAAATGAGCTGTGCGTGGTGGTAAAGCACTGTTCAGTATCTAGTAGCAAAGTCCAGGCTCCACAGTACACACCTGATAAGTCCGTGAGTTGTTCGTGGATATTTAAGAGGAAGAAAAAGCTAAATTAAATGAATGCATTATTCATTGTGGTTGTTCCATTAGCTACCCTATCATACATACATGCACCAATATAAACCTAGCATGGAAATTCAATATATTAACAACCTCAAACCCCAAAGTAGAATGAATTTGAATACAAATGTACCCACATCTGTGCTTACTGCTTACAACTTTCTGCATAAATGCACCCAACAGCAATTACAGTTGTGTGTTATAGTGGTCTTTTGGCTGGTTCTTTGTGATTCAGTGTCATCCATGTTTCTCTGGTACAGTTTTCCATCAAATTCCTTGAATCAATCTATTTTCTTTTTGCTGCCTATCTCTGCCTCTCTCTGTCTCTCTGCTTATCTGTTCTTTGTGGCTTATAGGTCTGGGGATGGACCATGTTTTTTTTAAGGGTCATGCACTTAATGCCTCTCAAGACCCACTTTATCTTTAGTTCAGCCATTGTCCTCACTGGATTTACACCATTTTGCCTGGAAGATAGGAATTTATTGACACGGGAACTAATTTTCTCTGTGTCTCAAGGCTGAAAGTTGCTGTGAGACATCTTAGTTATGAGTCCTTATTTTGGAAGGCAGTGATGGCTTCTGTCACTGTAACTAATTCAAAGACAATGAATAGCCATTAAATTAAGCTCAATGACCACTAGGAACACTGATAATGCTGTGTTGGTGTTCATAGGTGTTTTCTTTTTGCAGTGAGACTGCACACAAAGCCATAAATATTAGGAAACCATCAGCTAAGTTTCCTAATCTCTCTCCCAGCTGTAAAAACCCAAGATCTTGTACTTCCAAACATCATCAGCTTCACTGCCATCACTAAGGAATGATAGACATGCTACCATCACTGATGCTTCTCTGACATCAGGCACTGTGTGTAGGTCTGTAGGATGCTTTGCAGTCTCCTGCCCATTTTGTATGCCAGATATGATGTGGGTAGCATGGATCTGTGCAAACAAGGAAGCAAGTGAGAAGCAGTAAATTCTGGAAAGAAAACTGGCCAGTCATCAGCTTCCGTGGCTTCTGAGCTCCCAAGTAACAGCTGGCTGTTCATACGTATAAACATCTAAAAACTGTGGACATACCCTTCCCTAAGTCCTCAACACATTATGTACCAGCAGCCCACGACAGCTTGTCTCTATGGCTGATCTCCTCCAGAAAGAGGGAGCAACCTACACAAACAAGTCTCAGGGTTCATCCCAAAGATATTTTCAGCTCCAAAACAAGATTCGAGAGAAGAAATATCTCAAAAGTAGTCAGTGTGTCCACTTTCCTGAGTTTAAAACTCATAGGGCTTCTCCAAGAGCAAATTGATGATCTGGCAAAACACCCTTAATTTCAAGGACATATGCAGCTGTTGTATGTGCATGCTCTTAGTCATAGATGAAGCCACCAAAGAGTACCTTATCTCCTGGTGTTGTCAGCTGCCAAAAAGAAAAATGTTTTTTACAAAAAGGATGGTGAGACACTGGCACAGGTTGCCCAGAGGGATGGATGTCATGTCCCAAGAGATATTCAGAGTTAGGCTAGACAGAGCTCTGGGCAACCTGATCTAGCTGTAGGTGTCCCTGTTCATTACAGGGGAGTTGGACTAGATGGCCTTCAGAGATCCCTTTCAACTTAAATGAGCAAATGATTCTATGTTATGGGTGTCTCCACTGAGGTGAGGACTTGCACACAAGGGCCACTGGAGGAAACATGTTATCTTTTGGGAAACAAGCTAAGTAGTCCCC